CCTGAAAACTATTTGGAGGTTCATGGGTAGTTATAAGTGGGGTTATAAGTCCCCTAATATGGGTTATAATTATAGTTACCCTACTTATAACCCTACTTATAACTACCCATGAACCTCCAAGTATGACCCCTTATAGACCCCTTATAGGACCCTTTATAGACCCTCTTATAGACCCCTTATAGGACCCTTTATAGACCCTCTTGTAAACTTTATTTTGTCTTTGGTCCGTGGTCCTCTCCGGCTTCCATCGGCTTCGAACGGCTCAACTTGTTCACATGTGGGGAGCAATCCAATCGTAGCTCACTTAACGTAGGGGCCTTGATAATTAGAATACGGTTTTTTGGGGCCCATTATACAGAAAATATGATAAGCAACCCCCAAGATCCCATTAAAACCATTAAGGTCCCTACATTACCAGCATCTGCAAGTGCCTGCACGAACCCAAACTACCCATCAGGCCTGTCGTGTGAACGGCTCGGCCAACCACGTCCGAAAATCTCCAGGATTCCCAACTCCGAAACCCCAAACACCTCAACCCCCACAAGCCCAAAACCGTCTAGCACATGGCTTCTAAGTCTGCTACTTATTCCACCACAGTCCCGAAACCCGACAAGGCGAAATCCGTCATCAACAATAGGGGAAAAGCAACCAAAACACAATGGTCACATTTAACTGTCATGATCTCATTATGATGTTGCTGACGATGATAATGACCATCGTCGACGTTGTCATTGTCACCATCATCATCTTCTTCTTCATCATCCTCAAGACTATTGTGACGGTAACGAGTGTTGTGTTGTCACTTCAAGGCTTTTGCGGCCTGCTTCGGCGGCCGTTTCGCCGAGAACCTGGCATGCATTTCTCGGCAGCTAAAATGCAATACCAATCATGTTTAGGGATTTAGGGTTTTCAGGGATACCAAACGGTGGCAACGGGCATCACCCGTAAAAATCCTGAATTCCTACGTGCTGCAAAACGGCCCGCACGAGACAGTAGCGAATGTGGCTTCAGTGCAAAAGGGCGGAACGTAAGAACGCCGCAGCATTAGCGCACCGTTTGTGGAACAAAAAGAAGTCAACAATGAACGCTTTTTGTATACCAGCCATGATGCAGGTCAAAACTGAACGTCGAGCCGGTCAAGAAGACAGAACGGGAACTTTCAACTGTCGACCTTATGCATAATCGACAAACCACATTGCGCAGCAAACTCAATGCTAAAAACAGGCATGTGCTACGCTTTCGCACAGTCCTTAAGAAGCTCTCTGAAAAACAGCATACGCCAATTTGTCGATTTAGCACGCTGTAAAACCTCTGCAAAACTTTCAGTTGTCTGCCGAAAAACGTATATACTCTGCAAACTCCTGCCTCCACCCAAACAACCTATGACGACGTCCATTTCTCATGTGACAAAAGATGCTTAGAAAACAACAGATGGAAAGCACCAAGACAAAGAGCAGCATGATTAGCAAGAAGCACGTATCCCCTTACGGATGGTCCTCTAAATTAGGAACCCCATTGGGGTCCCTTTTATAAGGGTGCCGTACTAGTTTGGGTCCCTGAACCTATACTGAACTTCGACCCCTAGCAAAATTATAACTTTAGCTGCTTCTTAGGGTTTATAGTAGCCAAAGATTAAAAAATATTGCTAAGTACCCCAATATCCCTTAATTAAGGAACATACCTTCAATTATAGGGGCCTTAATTATTAAGGGGTATTGGGCTCTCTGGGGCTTTTTCCTTCCCCACCTGCAGGCGATCCCGGGCCGTGGGAGGGCGGACGGTCGCCTGCTGCTTCTTCGGAGGTCGGTTTAGGGTTTAGGGGTTTAGGGGTGTAGGGGTTTAGGGTTTAGGGTTTAGGGTTTTAGGGTTTAGGGTTTAGGGTTTAGGGTTTAGGGTTCTTCGGAGGACATCTTGGTATATGGGTAGTTTCAAAATTAGGGTCCTTTTTAGGGTCCCTTTTATAAGGGTGCCGTACTATATTGGGGACCTAAAAAGGGACCCTAATTTAGAGAACTACCCATATAAGTAAGCATCTTAGGGTTTAGGGTTTAGGAGTTTGGGTGTTTTGGGGTTTAGGGTGTGGGAGTTTGGGTGCTTTGGGATTTAGGGTTTAGGAGTTTTGGTGTTTTGGGGTTTAGGGATTAGTGTGTGTATGCGCAAGCATGCTACGACTTAGGCTTACGGATGAGGGCTGATGTATCAGCAGGGATAGTAATACCAAATGTACGTGGACAGCCATAAAGGAACCTGTTTATGCACATACATATGTATATATATATATATACACATGTATATGCACAAAGACAACAAAGACTTGATTATGCTCTTGGTAATGTCTGTTTCTTGAGCGTTCTAGCTGTATATGTGTGTGTGTGTGTACGTTTATTTAGATTTTAGCCTTGATTGGATCTGGATTGTTTCTTTTGGGGTGCAGATAGCTCAGGATTTCACGCGTAAGAATGTAAGACAGGCCCATGGTTGAGGGCTTGCAATTGGGGCTTTGCGGTTTAGGCGTTTGGGCTTCACCTTATCCTACCAAAACCTAAATTTTTGTAAGTTCTTGGTCTAAAACCCTAATAGGGTATTTGAATGGGACCCTACAAAAAGTAAGTTCTGGAAGGTTAAGGTAAGGCTTTATGGTTCAGGCTTCAAGGTCTAGGTATGTTTAGGCCCTACTTGGAGGTTCATGGCTAGTTATAAGTCCCCTAATATAGGTTATAACTATACTTACCCTACTTATAACGGTACTTATAACCCTACTTATAACTATGAACCTGCAAGTATGGTTGAGATGAAGCTGTAAGGTCCAGGGCTTGAGGTTGTATGGGTTCACATGTGGGTAGTTCTCTAAATTAGGGTCCCCTTGTAGGTCTCCAATATAATACGGCACCCTGATAAAGAAGAACCCTAAAAGGGACCCTAATTTAGAAAACTACCCATGTATGGTTCGTAGTCGTAACCCATTTAAAGGATCAGGGGGTTCAGCAACTTGGCGTTGCAAAACAGGTAGCTATAGTTTTGGCTGAACGTTTCAAAACCAAAAAAGCATGAACCTCAAACAAAACAGCCCCAAACCCGAAAATCCTCAACTCTCCGTGAAACCACTGGCCAGAAACCGTTGTAAACCCTACACCCTAAACGCGAAAACTCCTCACGTAAAAACGAATCGCCAGTGCCACTTGCACGACCAGGAGACACCATAATTATTGCAGATTTGGGGTTTAGGTTTTGGGGTCAAGATTACAGGATCCAACAGGGGGTTGACACAATACTGGGGATCTTTAGCGAATTCCAGAGAAGCTTGCGACATGCCAAGCAACCCTACGGAGGAGTAAAGAGAATTAGGGAGTACCGGGTCATCGACCCCCTCCCCTACGGATCCTATCGTCAGAAGTTGTCATAGCTGTGTTACCTTTGGGTTTAGGGTTTAGGGTTTAGGGTTTTGGGTCTAGGGCCTTACTTGTTAACTTTTAAGGCACCAACACTAAAAGCGCGCAGCGGAATCTTTACAAGAACCCACTTCTAGTCACGAAAGACCTTGTGGTAACCCATTAGGCCGTATAACAACCCTACCTTGAAAGTTTCTCTGCTAATCGTTATGGCCCCTTATGGTAGCTTTAAGCTGTATAGCAACCCCCATATGGGTAGTTCTCTAAATTCGGGGCCCTTTCTAGGTCCCCAATATAGTACGGCAACCTTGTATAAAAGGACCCGAAAAGGGACCCTAATTTAGAGAACTACCCATACCCTAAACCCTAAACCCTAAACCCTCAGCATTGAGACTTCCCCCCAAAAGTCCCCTCCCCCCCTCGTGCCTTTTCGGTAGTTTCGGGATCGACCTCGGTCCTGCCGGGCGGGACCCGAATGTCTGAGGCTCCGGACCCTCGAAGAGCCAAAGAAAGGGGCCTTCTTCATGACTAGACTAGGGTTTAGGGTTTAGGGTTTAAGGTGTAGGGTTTAGGGTTTAGGGTTTAAGGTTTAGGGTTTAGGGTTTAGGGTTAAGGAACCCAAATTACTTGGAGGCTCATGGGTAGTTATAAGGCTCCCTTTAAGGGATCCACAAGAGGGTTCTATAAGGGCTCTTTAAGGGATCCTATAAAGGTGTCCTATAAAAGGGGTCATACTTGGAGGTTCCATGGGGAGTTATAAGTACGGTTATAGGTAGGGCAGGTATAGTTATAACCTAGATTAGGGGACTTATAGCTCCACTTATAACTACCCATGAACCTCCAAGTAGAATAAAGCTCCTGAACATGTTCAACTGGGCTTTGAAGTAACCAGGGAGAAAAAAGTATAGGCTTTTATTTCATACTGGTTCCTTTAAGGAACAGGCCCCAAAAAGAAGTAGTAAAGTATGGTACTCCAAAGCCCAGGCAAGGGTTACTTCCAAAAAGGGGGTTGCTGTTTAGGTGCCCTGGAAGGTCTCCCGGTGAGAAAGGGGCCCTGCAATGGCCTAAAGGTCGTAAAGCTTTAGGGTTTAATAGGGTTTAATAGGTACCTTAACCGACCACAACCTAACTTTTTGTAGGGCCCCTATAAATTCCATATTAGGGTTGATAATAAGAACCTACAAAAAAGTGCGGTTTGGCAGTTTAAGGTAGGACTTCATAGGGTTGGGGTTTAAGGTTTGGGGCTGTTCAATATGTGGCGTTGAAAGTTTAGGGGCTTGTTTCTACTGTGTTCCGAGGGTCTAGGAGAGCCTGCCCAGCGGGCTGAGAATCTAGACCGACTTCAACAGTCTGCTCCCACACAATGACAGCCAGAATCACGCCCAAAACTTCAATTCCGAATCGGCCGATGTGTAGTATGTATGCATGAGTGCCGCATTCAGTGTGTGTGTGTGTGCGAGATTTGTACGACTAAGTCTTCAACTGCTTCGTTCTTGTAATATCCATTGCTCAAGTCCTCTGTTCTTTCGTACACTTCTAGCGGGCTGCAGGTACCAAAAACTACTTGGAGGTTCATGGGTAGTTATAAGTGGAGTTATAAGTCCCCTAATAAAGGTTATAACTATAGCTACCCTCCTTATGACCCTACTTATAACTACCCATGAACCTGCAAGTATGACCCCTTATAGATCCCCTTATAGGATCCCTGAAAGAGCCCTTATAGAACCCTCTTATAACTACCCATGAGCCTCCAAGGAACCTACAGCTTAGGCAGCTGGAAACGTTAGCATCTTCATCAGGGCAAGCAAGCGGATGTCCCGACCATTGTCGTGACCTCAGAAGCTTCGTGCAAGAGCCGGGTCTTGAAGAAAGGAGCTCATGGTTTCAACCTTGGGTTTAGGGTTTCAGGGGGTTTAGGGTTTGATACGGTCTTATAGGGTTTAGGGTTTTAGGGTTTCAGGGGGTTTAGGGTTTGATACGGTTTTATAGGGTTTAGGGTTTAGGGTTTAGGTCTTTAGGGTTTAGGTAGCATGTCTCGGAACACAGTTGTGACAGACAGAATGGGGCCATAATGTAGAGCCTGGCCATCTCTGCTATCAAGCTCCCCCCAGACAAGGGACCCCCACTAAATTCTGAACCCCTAAACCCTAAACCCCTGGCCACTAAACCCTACTTGGAGGTCCATGGGTAGTTATAAGTGGAGTTACAAGTACCCTAATATAGGTTATAACTATAGTTACCCTACTTATAACCCTACTTATAACTACCCATGAACCTCCAAGTAAATTTAAGGCATTGAGATTCGGCTTTGGGATTTCGGAACCGAGAATCAGGAGCCCAAGATAAGCAGCAGCTGTGATCTTGTCAAGCCCGTCTCTGTACGGGGATTCCGCCACCATGTTGCAACTCTCCGGACTGCCAATGGGTAGTTCTCTAAATTAGGGTCCCTGTTTAGGTCCCCAATATAGTACGGCACCCTTATAAAAAGGACCCCAAAAGGGACCCTAATTTAGAAAACTACCCAATTCAAGCTCCGTAACACCACGCTGAGGCCCGAAGATTCAGCAGCAGCATTTTCTGTCTGGCGCTTAGTAGGGGAATGGGGGAATGGGTTATAGGGACTACTATAAGGGACCTTAAGGGACTATCATAGGGATCCATTCCTCCATTCCCTACTAAGCACCAGACAGTTTTCTTGCTGCGCTGGCCGAAAGCCTCGTCCAGGAGCACAGCTCCTCGCATTTCTCGCAGCTGCATCAGTGGTCGCGCGCAGGGATCATCGCAGCCATCCTCTTGCGTGGATGTTCATGGGTAGTTATAAGTAGGGGTATAAGTAGGGTAACTACAGTTATAACCTATGTTAGGGGACTTATAACTACACTTATAACCACTCATGAACCTCCAAGTGCAGAATCTCATGCAGCGAAGATGGGCATTGCAGCAAGGCGGGGACCTTCGAAGTACTGAAATGCCTTCGTTTCAAGAGCCCCGCCATCGAATGGGCTCACGACAATGCTGGTAGCGCTACGTATACTCAGCTGACACCCGAGCCTCTTGGAAAGTAATGTACACCTTGAGCTACCAAATCTGCTTTTTGTAGGGTCCCTACACTTTCTATGTTCCGGTTTGCACTAAAAAACTACAACGAAGTAGGTCACTGACTTCATGCATAAACCTCCATTGAAAGCCGTGATAAAACATCGAATTTGTGGAGATAAGGCCCAACTCTTGGCAATATGACTCGTTCGTAAGTGCCTGTATGATGCAACCTACCTCAAGATCTTGGCCTGAGCATTCACGGCACTACTTGAGAGTTTCGAAAAAGGAACCCGAATACAGACCTTGATCATTCCAAAACAGAACCCCCAAGAACCGGCCCTTAATTCTAGGATCGGGTGGATCGGGATCATAACGACTTTACAGGGCGCTGTTCGCCCAAACATGATCCTCCTGGATAATCTAGGGGCCGTAATAATTAGAGCAGGGTTTTGGGG